GCTGCTCGCAGCGGGCAGCTGCCCCGCAGAGCTGTGCTAAACCCTGCGCTTTCTGCCTGCAGCGCTGCAACTCCAAGTGCGTCTCGGAGCAGACCTTCTACCGCCTGATGCAGTCGTTTGCCCTCGTGCTCTTTGAGTAAGTTGGGGGAGTTTGGGGCTTTGTTGCAACCACCGAAAGCCCCTGAGATCAGAGCCACGGCTCAACAAGGGGCAGCAGCTGGGAGGCTGCTTGGGTTGCCATCACTGGGTGTCTACACCAGATCTTCCCCCCGTGTCAGGTGTCACCAGATGGATGATTTCAGCCCTGCCAAGAACCTCATGACCATGTGTTTCACCTACTACTACGTTGGTAAGTGGCACCTGCACCCTTGGGCTTTGCTTGTGCTGGAGACTGGTGTGCCCCTTGCATGAGAAGGGTGATGGGAGGGGTACCCGGGCTTGCCTTACGCTGGCTGACTCCGGTACTGAGCAGAAAAGAGCCTCCATGGCCGAGAAGCTGTGCAGACCTGCTGGAGACCCGCACTGGGGTGGCAGCTCATGCTGATGCTGGTTTGTCATTGCTTCCAGCCAGGGATGTTTGTGGGTGGTGATCCCCAGATGTTCCTCAGGCCTGGGATGTGATGTGAACGCTCTAGCCCAGCAGCATCTTGGCTCGTTGCCTGGCATGTGGTGGTCACCCCTCTGTGGAAGGGGGGCTGGATTTTCTGTCCAAAAAGGGAGCAGGAAAAGGCTACAGGACCTGGGATGTGATGGGGTCTGGACTGTTTCCATCCGGGTCCTGGTGTCCTTGGTGCATCTTGTAGCTGGGAGCAGGTGCCCCAGGAGCTGGCAGCACCCAGGACCATGGGGCCAACTGAGCTCCTGAAACACTGCCCACAGGCAAGACCCATGCGCTGCCCTTGGAGGCCAAGGAGAAGCCCATGGGCAGCATCGACTCGTACCTGAAGTCGGCGAACAGCTGGCTGGCGGAGAAGAAGGACATCGCAGAGCGGCTGCTGAAAAACACATCAGCCAAGACAGAGAACGTCAAGGGCTTCTTCGGGGGCCTGGAGACCAAACTGAAGGGTCCTACCACCAAAAGGAGCGAGTGGGTACCACTCTGTTGGGTGGGCAGGGTGGGCTGAAGCATGCACTTGTAAGGTGACCAAGCCAGAAATCTCCTGGGTGTAAGACCACCATGAGCCGGGGGTTATCAAGGCCATGGAAGGGTGGTCTCTAGCCTGGCCCCATGCTTCATACTGTGGTCTTTGGGTATGTCATGGTTGGGGTGTCCTGTGTCCCTTGGCCATGGAGATATGTAGTTCCAGGAGACAGTGATGATGCTGTGTTGCCTTCTGCATCATCTCTGTGCTGTGTCTAATTGGGATGGACATCATGGTCTCTTAGCCACCTTTCTGGACCAGGGGACAGTGGCATGGGAGCGGGGGGTCTTTCAAATGAAGGTGCTTCCCTCGCCAGGGGGGCCAGGGCTTTGCTGCATGGGCTGTCAGGGCAACAGGCTTTTTGGGTGCTGACATTGATTTCTGTGCCACAGTGAAGGTGAGGACAAACCAAAGGAGAAGCTGAAGAAGACAGGTGAGTGAAGCCAGCATTGCTGAAGTAGGCATGGTCAAGGCTTCCCCGGAGAAGGAGTGAGGGTTGGGAGTGGTACGCGATGGCTGCATTGCCGGAGGTGTGGGGTGGGGAGAAGGGAGGAAGGACCGATGCTGTCTCCTCTGAGCTCCTAGAGGAATGCTCCAAAGGAGTTTTTTACAGCTCCTTGCTTTGGAGCAACCACAGCTGTTGTCCTGGAAGGACATCTTGCGGCTTCTTGTCCTCAATGGCACAGGTTGCAGAGGCTTGGGCATCCACTGCCTCTGAGTTTTGTGCTGGACCAGTCCCCGTCCCCATCGTGTGTCCCCCCCTGCCCCCCTTCCCCTGTAGCTGTGTGTGCTAGCAAATCAGTGGTCCAGTCACTTGAGCATCCCCCTGGGACATCCATGCCTTGATCAGAGCTAATATCTGCCCGCAACGGGCAGCCAAAGCTCCTCTTCATGTTGGTGAAGGTGTGCTGGGGATGAGTATTTGGTGTGCAAACCTTGCCATCACGGCTGCTTGGATGCCAAGCTGGCAGGGGGGCACAAAGTCTGTGCGTGGGTGGGAAGGTGGGAGTCATCCAGACCTCGGCATGTAACTGTGTGTCCCCACAGTTTCTGTGCAGAGCCTGGAGGAGGAGAAGAAAGGAGAGAAGATCTACCTGTACATGCACCTCAAGCAGCAGCCAATCTGGTAAAGCCTGACTGGGGCGAGGTGGCTCTTGCCCGGTGTTGGCCTCCCCGGGGAGGGGCTTTGTCCTCCTTGCCCACACATTCTCCAGAGTTTCCTGAGTGCTTTTAAGCTGCTGCTGCCCTACAAGAGGTGGCCATGACTTTTGCACATCGCTTGTGCTAGTGAGAGTGTGTTTGCAGACACACCAGGAGCTGGTCCAAAAATGGACCAAATCTGCTGGACTTGCTTAGCCCCCTCCTTGCAGCATCTCCTGGCCCCTGGGACGTGGGTGAGCTTGGTCCTGGGAGGACTCGGGGACAGGCTGGGGGTGGTGGGACGTGGTCTTCCCCAACACCTCCCTCCCTGCAGGCACAACCTGCGGTTTTGGAACGCCGCCTTCTTCGACGCCGTCCACTGCGAGCGCAGGAAGCGGTCCCCCACCACCAGGTAGGACATGTCCCCGTGGGAAAAGGAGATTCCATGTCCCCTCCAGCCCCCCCTGACATTCCCCCCCCCACTCCCGACAGCCCTAAGCGTTACCGACCGTGGGGAGATGCTCTGCCTTCCACCGCTGATCGCAAAGCGGCTGGGGCCGCTGGGCTGGGGGGGGC